GCCACCCCACCCCGCCCAGCCCAGCCCTCCATCAGGAAAAGGCCAATGCAGCCTCTGGCCCTCACCCCGTGCACAGATCCAGGGGGCACATGCCCCCTGTACCTCCCCCAGGGTGTGTGCAGTGGCAGGAGCCACCACCCCCCTCCATGCCTCCTGGACGAGCTGCCCGGCTTTGTCTGTGTCCCACTCCACCCCAGACGTGCAGTGCCTGCCTATGCCCCAGCCCCATTCCCTCCCTTACTGTGGGGGCCTCAATCTGCACCCCCACACCTCTTCCCTCTCCCACGCCCTTTTCTACCCCAAACAGACTTAACAGCTGGACACTGCTCTCCAAGCTGCTGGGCTGCACATTGGAATTGGATCAGTATCTGCTGATATGACTGGTTAATAATCGGTATCAACCCAAAAAATCTTTATTAGTGCACCCCTAAAATGTATACATTTTCCATATATAGAAACTAATTATTGGGGGGGTCATCTTATACTCAAGTGAATACAGTAACACACACACATCTTTTGTGTGCACACCTCTAAGCAGTCCAACACGTCCACCTCTGCTGGAATTAAACACCCTGGTGTAATCCCACAGATCATAACCAAGCCAACAACAGTAATCCTTTGCTTTTCTATAAACACCTTTTATGCCAAGGCCTTGCAAACATTAGTACCTTAAATCTGCACAACATTCCTGAGAACGAGGTCAGAGTTCTCCCACTTCGTAAATGGAAAAGCCCCTGCTTTTCACCCATGGCAAGTTTGAGGGTGGTCTCAATGTTACAGACATAGCTCCTTATAGTTGTGGGTGGGGGTTTGAAGTGGTGATTTGGAAGATTCCTTTGGTTTGTGATTGCCTGTGAATATAGAGGGCAGTACTCAAGAGCCCAGGAGACCCCTTCCATTCCCACGTTCCTTAGGCCCTTGGCAGATACTACACTTAAGACATGATTAGTTTGTTACTCACATCTTAAAGAGTAACCCAGCCATATGTTCAGGCAATTAAAAAAAGGGAAACCAGCCAAAAAATATCACACAAAAATGTGTAATTTTTGGGGAGCTGGTTTCTATAGCATGTTAAATTGAACATGTGGCAAGGCTAGGACTGCACTGGGGCTTGAATTAGCCCTTGTATGGTCCATGCCAGCTGATAATCAACTGATCATCAGTGGGTCCAGGGACATCAGTGGGGCCAGTGCAAGCCAGCCAACAATCACTGATTGTCAAACACCTGCCTTTCAACTTGCTGGCATCAGGGAACCTTCTGATTGTGACTTCGGGTCCTTTCTGAGCTGGGAAATAGGTACAACTGGGATCTAATCCCTGAACTCAAAACTGAGGCATGGAAGGAGGTGTGACTGTTGGGACTCAGGAAGCAGATTCACCATGCCTTTAAATGAACATCTGTCAGTGGCCTAAGAGACTTGCTTGAACTCTTGCAGAGAATCTGTAGCACAGCTGGAAATGGGCAAGCCTGACAGGTCACAACTCATGAATTGGAACCCAAATGCTCATTTAAAAAACAAACAAACAAAAAAACCTTTTAGAAGGACTATACTGTATTTTCTGAACTCCCATCTGCCCCAACACTCATGCAGCTGTTACAGCATTGCCAGCTTTCCCCAGCGTACAGACCACTATTGATTCAGACCAAGTTGCAGGAGACTGCTGGCTGCATGATGCTGCAGGTTCCTCCAGCTTCTCCCTGAATCCTGAAATGTCCTCTTGGCTCTTAAGCAGGTAAGAAGGAGCTCTGCCTGCCTCCTGCTGCAGGTTTCATTGGCTGTGGACAGGCCAGGAAGAAAAGCAGGCATGCAATCAAAGAGGGCTTCAGTCCCAGGCAAGGTGAAATGTGCAAGACATTTCTCCCCTCATTGCCACACTTGCTCCAACTGAAATCACCAGACACCACAACACTGAGAAGACAAGAATGCAGATTCCCATTCCCCTGTTGTAGCTGCTGGGCTATAGCACCTCCCTAAGCTCGTGTGAATGTTACTATGCCTCTCTTCATGCACCAAGGGACAAAACAAATAAGGAACTTCCTGGTGCTCAGCTCTCATTTCATGTGGCTGGTGGGATGTGCTAATCTTTGTAGTGAGACAGCTTCCAGGACACAAGTGGTTGGAGTTACCATGCAGAATACAGTAGATTTGCACCTTATTAATTAACTAGAGAGAGGTATATAGCATAAAGTTTCATAAGCTAACCTCATCAGATGCTGTGAAAATACGGAGTTTGGCATTGTGGCACTGGTTTCTCAAGCCCCAATCCAACAGTTAGACTGACCGCAGGTTGGAGCAAGAACCCACCCCCACCTCACACACATTCAGATGTCTACAGATATCCTGGTTGTGATAAGCTTGAACGCTCTCCAGACTCACCTTCCACCCCCAGCAGGTGCTGCTGAGTTAATGGCCTGTACCATGTCTGTAGTGAGCGCATCCAGTAAGCTGGTAATAAATTCTACTTTCTTTCCTTCTGGACAGCCTGTACAAAGGAAAGAGAAAGTTTAATTTAGGAACAGAGAATCAGTCTCCTATCCTGATTCAGAGAGGATAAGGTACAATCTATGTTTGTAAGGTTTAATACAGCACTCCACCATCGTAACTCAAATCTCTCCAAGCAGAAGAATCCATGAGCAGCTTCTCAAATCAAGTCTCTGTCCACCAGCTTTTTGTAAAAGAAAAGCAGAGGATCACTACTATCTTGAATGGTCACTTGAGTGCTTTAGACTGTTTTCATGACAACTTTAAGGATGAAAGGCAGACACAAGAGGTGCAGATTCTCAGAAGTGCTCAGCATCCGGTAAGTCCCACTCTAACAATCATGGCTAATTTTTCAGAAAAACAACACCCAATGTTCTACATTCCTCTGAAAACCTGGTCACCGATGTTCATGTCTAAATGGAAGACTAATTCTTTTGAAAAATGGCCCATAATGATCATTACGGCCAGATCTCCAGGCCACATGTACCCTCTCCTCCCAATACACAGTTAGAATGCCTGCCAGTAACTAAAACAACAGTCTAGGGCAATGGTTACCAAACTTTTGTGGACTAAGAGACCATTATCAACCCTCAAAATTTCTTGTGAACCCTTATCATGAAATTTGAATTAAAAAGGAAAGAGATCAGGGAAGTGTGATCTGTGGACAACTTACCTGCACCCCATAGACCACCAGTGGTCTGCAGACTGTAGTTTGGATACTACTGGTATACAGATACAGTATTTGTTAAGCAGCACTTCCTGGGGAGGTAGCACTTGAGAAATGTCTGATATTGAGAACTCTGGAGACAGAAACCCCGTCTCCACCCACAGGATGGGGGCAAACAGGCAGGCTGCACACACTTCTGCAGCACTAACCCACCTACGTGCTTCAGCTCATCTCCACACCATTCAGGGGAACAAGGAATCAAGTCCCATGGTCCTTCAGCTGGACTTGCTGAAGAGATGGGAGACTACTGCCAAATCCAAGGATGATTTTGTGATGTATTTTGAGAACTGAATTTTGTCTGCCATGAACCAGCTGCACACAGGAACTACAAACAGCTACTAAAAGGCACTACACCTTCAGCTGCTGCAGGCCCAGGCAGATTGGAAATGGGGGTCTAACAATGAATGACCTATATATTAGGGCTATGCAAAATTTCAGCAGCCGTTTCATTTACTTTCAGATTCGGACGTTTTAATGGTCAACACACCAAATCTGAAATGAAATGCAGGGCTCTGAAACAGCTCCGAAACAAAATGGGCCATCTGAAATGTTTTGGAAATTTTCCATAATGGTTTCAGATGTTTCTGATATTTCGGAGCTGTTTCAGAGGTGGGCTTGCAGGCAAAGGGGCAGAGGAAGGACTGGTCTGATATTGACATCTGTAACTGGACAGTGACAACAATTTGTCCTTGAGATTCCTTTCAACCTCAGTGCTGGGGGGTCAAACTGGGGGCTGTGGAGTTAAACTGGGAGCTGTGGAAATGTTCAAGTCCCTGAACATTCCCCCAGTTCCTGGTTCAATTCCCCAGCTCCCTGGTCTTTCCCCCAGCTCTCTGATTGTTTCCCCCAGCTCTTCCCTGGCGGGGGCGCAAGCCCCCGGATGACACATGATCACAGCAAGCTGCCGCTGTCAGCTGGTGATGGTGGTGGCTCTGGGTTATTTCCCCAGCCAGCAGCAGCAGCCTGCTGAAACCCTGAGCAGATCTGGGGCCCATGCCCCCCAGCAAGAGCTGGGAGAATGATCAGAGAGGTTGGGATTGAACCGGGAGCTCCAGCTGATTGCTGGAGCTGCCCCAGGTCCCGGACAGTGCATGAATCACTGTCCCTCCAAACCATTGAATACAAAACTAAATGAAACACAGCCATTTTGGACAGCCCTACTATATGCGTTTCCATTACTGGGTTCCTGACCCATCCAGTAGGTATTTTGACTAAGTTGCCTTTTGAACAGTGTTGTCCCTGAGGTAGTAAGTTTAAAAATTACAAATGAGGAAGTTCTTTTTCACCCCGGGTGCAATTAAAGTGTGGAATTCAATGCCACAGGCTATTGAAGTTAACAGTTTAACCAGGTTCAAAAGGGATTGGACAAATTCTTGGAGGAAAGGTGCATCAGCAGCTTTTGAAAATGGGATTTTGGGGTACAGCCTCAGAATCAGAACTTCTTAGACCGTGAATGCTGGAGGCTGCAAGTGGGAGAGGAACTGTGGGAAAAACCCTGGTTATACCCTGTTCACTCTTCCTTTCAGCACCCATCCTGTGCCACTGTGTGATATGGGATACTAGGCAAGATGGACCTGTGGTCTGACCTAGTAAAAAGCAGTTCTTATGTTCTTGTGGGGTCTGGCCAGAGAGGTAGATCTCCGTTCTCCTGCTGTTGACTAGGTGAGGTATGCAGCTTCCTCAACACTCTTTTATTCTCCTGACCATTTAAGCTCCCTTGTGTGTAAAGAGGAAGTGAGCAATATAAATAATCAATTTAATTCCATAATATTGTAACAATGATTTTTAGCCCACATAAAGAGGCACATGGATTCTCAGCTAGTCCCACCTACCTCCAGAATCACCTGTGTTTTTTTCCTGAACACTTTTTGTTCCCCACTATCTCCCTTACTTCCCTTCTCACTAGATGATCATTCTGATGGTCAGGAATTGCCACTAAACCACTTTCTTTCCTCCGTGCCCAAACCAGCAATTTACAACTGATTGCTGGCATGATTAAGGTAATTGGTGCCAGGAAGGCAGCCTACCCTTAGCAATGAGCACCAGCATCAACACTTTCTGCCTTTCCCAGACAAACAGACAGACACACACACCCTCAGGGCAGAGGTCCAGAAACTTACCACAATCCCCTTGACAGCTGAAAGTGACTTGCAAATTACTATGACAAAATCCTCTCCTTTGCAGAAATACAGGCACAGTTTCCTGCAATATCCAACCTATAGGGAGCAGTCACTTGGTCTGTTTCTGTACTATGTGTATTGCACACATGCATGCCCCTCTGTACTTGTTTGGCACGCAGTCCAGAAAATGTCAGCATTGTAAAGGGTAAGCTGCTGTTGCAGCCAGAGTACACCACTCACTTAAAAGAGCTTTTTGTTGCAGTAATGAGAAGGTTGAAAAAACCATTTGCTAGAAGTCGTCTCCCAGGGGTCTCAGCATCCCGCCGTCTGCTGGAGTTAGCAGCTTGCTATTCGCTGTGTGCAAGCAACACTTTCCTTCCTTCTTCCTCCTGGCTCTTCTGGAAGCAGCCATGGCACAGTTTGTCTAGAGGGATTTGTGCATACGTCTCTCTCACCTTGGCATCTGAAGGGTTGTTTATCTCAGGGCAGGGAGGAAAATGCCAGCAGTAATGAAGATTTGGAAGGATGAAGGGCCCCTTGGACAATCTAAATGAAAAAGGGCACTCTCTCGGGCAATTGAGAGTAATTGAGGGGTAGGAGGGGGGAAACAGTTTTCCATTTGGGTTGAGATTATTATCCAGCTGGAGGTAGCAAGCAGGAATAGGAAGGTAACAGGGAATACTGCATGGCTCTCCTATCTCTTCTGTGCTCCTGTTGTTTGGATCACTAGTGGCCCATCATATCCAAACCCGGCCAATTCACAGATGATTAAAGCCTCCAGGCTGAATCAGAGGGAGTTGGTTACAAGAGAATGAGAACTATAAGTTCTCAGACAGTCAGCAGCTGGAGCCAGTCTCCTGAGCAGCAGGGACAGTAATCATTGGCCCTCTGTGGCAGCCATCTAGTATAGGTCAGGAGGAAGGAGGGGTGAACAGTGGAGGAAGCACATCAGCACAATCTGCAGCTGGAATCAGCTCTCTCAACCCTGCCACACTGTGCAGTTTCCTCCCTAGCAGTGCAGATTCTGCTCCCTGTTCAGCTGCACTGCACACTCAGACACTACCCCCCAGGACAAGGACCAGCAGTTGCACTTGGAAGGATGGGGAAGACAGAGGAAGAGGAAGTCCTTTTCTTCCTCAAGGATCAGAGAGAGGGACCCAGGGAGGGAGCCCAGTTTGGTAGGGAGAAAGTGTGCAGAGGCTAAGGCCACTATATTTTTTATTGAAAGAATGTGTAGGAGGATGAGGCAGGCCCCCAGGTACTGGACTCTTCATAGATACTAGCCTGATCCACTGCCTCCAGCCTGTTTGCTCAGATGGGAAGGAGAACAAGGATTGGTTCCTGAGGAACTAGGCACCAACTCTGCTCCTTAGAAGGAGCAGGGGAGAAGGGCAGAAACCAGAGCATCAGCAGCTGGAGACTCACTCTCACTCCAGTACAGCAGCTTTCGTCCCCTGATCTCAAATGGGAGGGCGCCATTTTACACATACTCCTTCCCCAAAAGGTTAGATTCAATTGTCATCCTCTTTGTCAAAAGGGGGGGGGGGGCATTCTGAGTGTAAAGTGTTATGGGTTAAGCTAAAACTAGTTGAAATTGGTGGTTATAAGAACTGCCCTCATCTGAGATAACATAAAAAAAAAGAACACTTGAGATCTTTTTGGAACCAGATAGCTGAAACTATGGTAGCCTCCATCCAAAACACAGGCACACATCACCACCTAAAACAAAAGCACATTTGGCCAGAGGTAGTTCTTTGGGTATAGTTTTAACATAAGCGTGTGAGGACACAAATAAACCACCACAAAAAACAATGACAGAGGAGGAATGGAAAAGCCAGTGCCTTATCCAAACAAGCAGAAAAATCCAGAGAAAGCACCAGGAAGTGTCAGCAACAGGTAGGTCTCCTCTTTGATTCCTTGCTCAGGGAAGCAGGGACTTCTTGGTAAATAAACAGATTTGGCAGAGACACATGGCTCCAATCAACAATTTCTCTTCTGAATAGAAACAACTTGCAAGACCCCAGCTTTTGGCTAGTCACTTGAGTCCAAAAGAAAAGGTAGTAGTGGTGATGTGAAGTTCTAAGATTAAGTGGCCAGAAGCAACTTCAAACCAAGCCAAGCCAAGGAGAAAGCAACAATGGGGGGAAACAGAGTCCCAGCTAAGCTATTCTGAACAGCCAGCTTTGGTCAAGGGTTGGGGTTGGCATTCTTTGTTTGCATTAGTAGCGTCATCTGCTATGTGCTAGTTATGTCCCCCAAATAGCCAAAAGACAAAATCTCAGTGCTGCAGCTGTGAAAAAGTGTCCATGACTAGAAAGAAATGGGCCTGTCCTTACAGTAGTTAAAAAAGAGCTCCACTGCTTCTCTGAGTCACTTTGGGAAGGCAATATATTAGCCTCTCACTACAATTTCTCCTTCACAGATTTTTCACAATGAAATTTTTCTTTTCCTAGGTGGCAGATATGTTTGGCAGGGATGGGAAGGAAAGTGACAAGTGAGCCCAGGGGAAATCTCATGGTTTTCTAGTCCCCACTGAAAACTGATATTGCCACTAAGCTTAATGGTAGTGGGAGAAGTGATCCATCCACAGAGAAAGCCAAACATTTTTCTGGAACAGATACTAAAAGGATAAGGAACCCAATATAATCAAAAACAAAACTCATGGTAAAAAGCACCCACATGATGTATGCTCTTTTAAACAATGGCCTTGACCTGAAATTCTGTTGGGGTGGGGGAGGTGGGAGGAGGAGAGACACTGACCTGGAAGCTCCCTGTCCTTAAATGGGTCATCAGCCTCTGTGCTCTTTGATCTGGCATCACTTTCACACACTGGGGTTTCATAGCTGGAGAAAGAAGAGGGCAGAGATCTTCAATCATTTTCAGTAGTTAGTGAACTTTGCAGTTTTACATTATCAGCTCAGTGTAGAGGAAACAAAAAGAAACAAGAGTCTGCATGAGAAAAGTTCAGATTGCATGAAGACAAAGATGATCATAATAAGATGACGTGAGCACCTGCACCTACAGGAATTAACATTAATGTGACCTTGCCCTCTATCAACAGCTCCTTCTCTTTGCTTGTCAAAGTGGTGGCAAAGCTGGGCATCTTAATGAACTGTTCACCACCAATGACTGTCTAGACAGTCAAAGCAGTCAGGAAAAACCTTATGAACTTCAGCTGTCCTGGGCAGCATGCTCACTGTCCTCAGAAGTGAGCTTCACTAAAGGTAAGCCAGGCATTTGCTCAGTTCAAGGCAGTTTAGCCCAATGCACTGTTCCTTGCCTTGACCCAGAAGTTCACCTGCAAGCTATACATTTCAACATGCAGCATCCATTTATTAGCTGCAGTAAAACAAGAAGGGCATGCCACACATGCTACACTGTCAGTCCAAACCCAGGAACAATTCAAGGTCCAGATTCTTCTAGTCAGTCTCACAGTCCAGAACCAAACTCCTTCCTTGCTGACTCCCCTGCACAGCAGTTGTGCGCCAAGGATTTACAATAGCTACCAGTGTTGGGTCAAGCTTACAAAACTGGCCAGAGCTTGTCAGTCTCTCAGTTTGTTCCAGTGAATCCATCTACAAGCTGTATGGTGAAAAGGATCCATCCCATTTCTGGACCCGTGGGGAGCCCCATGAACCAGAAAGTGTGGGTCTGTGTGTTGGATTGGGTGGGCCCAATTCTAGCGTATGGGGGCCAGGCAGAGATGGCATTGAGCCCTGGGGTCCAATACCAGCATGTGGGAGCCAGGTAGAGGTGGTGCAGAGCCCCAGGGCCAGATCCTGGTTCACAGAGCCAGGTGGATGCAATGCCAGGTGGAGAGAGCATGGGGTCTAGCATGAGGGCCCAATCCAGCTCTCAGACCAGTCCCACACCCCTTATCTGGTCTGCAGGGCCATGAGGTCGAGTACTGATGCTCTAGATACTCAGTTCACACTCCTTGAATGGACATTCTTAGCCTGAAATAGCTTAAGCTAACCAAAAAAAAGGTGCTATTAGTTCAAACTAAGAGCGTGCACATAGGGGAGTTAGTGCAGAGTTAACAGACTTGATGGGTATGTTCCCTGTGGTGTGGCTACTCCTGGAGTCCTTCGTCCTCTTATGTCTCTGAATAGATATGCTTTCCTTCATAGTTATTTTACATATCAGCTTACAGGCCAGATTCAAAGCAAGTGGCTCTTACCGGGTAGATGTGCCAGGCAGGGGGCGCCCGGTATCCACCAGAACACACCAGCAATACCCAGTGGATTGGTGACACTGCACTGGTTTGTACAGCCCTCCAGGAGCACACTCGGGGATGACGATGCCCTCACGGGGGTTCTGCCTGGCCTCTTCCAGGGCACTCTGTCTCTCCTGGTCACATGAGTGAACTTTCTCTGGAAGAGAAAAAACAAAACTTCATCCTCCATAACAGTTGTTCTCAACCTTTTTTGTTCCAGGACCCATTTGTGAGCATTGATGGCCAGTTCCAACCCAGTGTCCTCACTCCCAACCCGCTGCCCCCCATCCCCAGGCCCCTGCCCTCCTCCCCACCCCCCGTGTGTGTGTGATGGGGAGAATGGGGGCCCAAAGCAGCCCCTTGCAGGCTGCAAGTTTCCCATGTTTTTCTCCTTTAAAAAATAATCCATTTTTTAAGTTTGTCCACAACCCTTTCATATATTCCTGTGACCCACTTTTGGGTCATGACCCATGGGTTGAAAAACACTCCTCCATAACACCCATGGCTTCAAGGCAATTCTCAGACCTGAGCATTCCTAATGTTAGCTAGGCCCTGGAAACCTACAGCCCTATTGCTTCCCCTGTCAACTCTGCTACTCAAAAGTAATAGTCTAACATACTCTGTATTGGAATCTGGCTGGAATGCTGCATCGTAGTACAGATACTCCTCCTTAACGTCGTCCTGGTTAATGTTGTTTTGCTATTACATCGCTGATCTATTAGAGAACATATGCATTCAAAGTCGCGCAATGTTCAATTACAACATTGTTTGGCTGCCGCCTGCTAGTAGGTAACTATTGTGATGAAACTGGATTTGCTTAACATAGTTTTGCTTAAAGTCACATTTTTCAAAAACATAACCATGATGTTAAGCAAGGAGTAGCTGTAATGGCAAAGTCATTCCAAGGGCTTACAGATTCGGGGTGCCATCTGCTGGCTGCTACTTTTGTAGGAAGCTGAAGCCACAAGAGGAACAGCTACTTCGTGTCACACATTCCTGTTCTCCAAATAAGCAGAATTGCCTAAAGATACAATACGGGTGTTACTGCAATCTTGAGCTAAATATTCCTATAAATGTTGTTTGCATTTGCTGCCATTTATTCTTTCATCATTAGGTCTGAGCTTTCTCATAGAAGAAGCAATGAAGACCCTCAACTGTTTCCTTCCTTGGGGTAACTAGTGAGAAATAAAAAACCCAGTTCCCATCTCCCAGCTTCAGAATGCCCTTGAGTAACAAGTTATTTACCAATATATCCTTGTGAGGCAGAGTTCACATACACACTTAACCCCATTCATTAAGGCAACAGAAGAGTACAGCCATCTCCTGCAGCAAGAAAAGGGTACTGTATAGCTCCTCTACTCCCCAACATGTCATAGGAAACAGAGGTTAACAAGCCTTCCTCTTCCCCACACATTATGCCTGGAAGATCTACTACTTTGAGTTAAGGGAGAGACCCACTTAGCCAGTAGCAGTAGTAGGCTGCTGTCCTTTATAGTGATTTTACAGGGATCATCCACTAAAAGGGGAACATTTACACATGTATTATAGAAATTTAATATTAACACTTAGCAATTCTCTGTTAGATGTCCTCAAAACACCTCTTGCCATTCATCTGAGGGACAAGAATACCGTTTCAAATTCTCCAATCACCTAAAGAACTTGGGGGGGAGAGGGGGAGTAGAAAATTTGATATTACTGGGATAAAAAGGGAGGACAAAAACCCAATAAACTTTCTTGTTCTTTAACTATATCCTAACAATGAAAAAAAAAAAAAGGGGAAAAATGTCCCTTTTCCCTCTCAAACTACCCTCACAACTGTTTTTAACAGGTCAACGCATTCTCATGTCCAGAGGCTACTTCAGGTTTTAGGTTCAGAAAGTAACCCAGAGCCATGAGTTGAAGACTCCATAGGTTCAACTTGAAACTGCAGATATTTTGATGGTCATTTGGGAGACCTTATTTGGCAGTACATAACCATCTGATCTTTGGGAAATGGATGTCCAATACAGAAACATTTCCCTACCCATCCTTCTGATCAACATTACCCCTTTGCCTCATACTCTCAACTCTGTTTTCTCGGCATCCCCCCGCCCCCATCTTTCCCCCAAATATTGTGATTATAAGTTGTTTGGACCAGGTATCAGCTTTTGTTCAGTGCCTAAAACAGTGGGGTTTTGTTCCATGACAAGGGCTTGGAGGTACTATGCATGCCCAGATGCTAAAAACAATAAATGCTGGCAGCTCTAAACAGAGTTACTTGGACATCAATAGCTTCTGGTGCCTGAGGCCAACTGACCCATGATTTCTAATTGTACCATGCCAGACAGAGAAAGTTGTTTCAGAAGACCCTAGGATGGGGTCCATCCACAAACACTTCAGACCTTCATCCCTCAGGGTTGTGAATGCAAAGAGCGCTTGAACTTTGTCAGGCACAACTCCACACAACTCAAGTTTATAATACAAGCTTTAACTGCATGTAAGGCCAGTTCAAGCAGAGAGAAACTTAATCAAGACTGGGAAGGGGCAGGGGGGAGAGAATGAAAATCAACAAAACTGAAACAGCTCAAGCCTCAGCTGATATTTAAGCTGACTTCACTTTGCTGACAGATGTCACATCTTAAAAAACAAAAATTGTGACTGCTCCTGAGCCATATGAAGACAGAGAAGTCATTCAGTAAGAAGCCCGTGGGCTTCTTAACAAATCAATTACATCACAAAGGTCCAGCTTACTTAAAATCACTGCCTGACAGCAATTTACACCTTGGCCATCAGGTGAGGTAGGTCATTCCTCCAACTCAATGAAACAAAAAAAAGCAGCCAAAATCTGCTGTCTATCACTCCATTTATATTCAATTCATTTTATACAATAAGCAAAAGGGGAAAAAAACCTTCATGGAAGTAAACTGCATTCCAGGCATTTTTCTATCTAAATCCCCAAAGCTTCCTCAGTACACACATTCAAACCAGGCTCTCTGGAGTCCTTTGAGTCTTGCAAAACTGACATTAAAAATGGCTTTGGAAAAAAAAGTCAAAGCTTTTTTTGGACAAAGACAACAAAACAGGCAACTTGGTAGAAAATACTCTGTTTTCTTTTTCAATAAAAAAGTGAAAATGTCTTTTAACAAGTTTCAGTCTTATTCTACACATACATACAGTACAGGATGTCTATACACAGTATGCATACTTATACACAGAGGCATATATGATGTTTGCACTATCATCATCATTTTAAAATGTTTCTCTGTGCATACTGTAACTAGAAATGGGGAGGAACTGCTCCTCCAGGGGATTTCTCAATGGAATACAGAAACAACTGTTAGTCACTGCTACCTGACGGATATTTAAAGACATACACAACATGAATTTAAAAGCCTTCCTTTAGTTCACAGCAAATGGATATCCACATCTCTCTCTCTCTATATGAACCTTGTAAACTAACTAAATAAGATATATATCTATATCTAAAGAGAGAGAGAGAGTGTCACCATTTGTTGATTGATAGATAGATAGATATCAGTTGAACACCATGTTTTATTGATATATTCACATTTTTAAGCAATCTGGAAGCCCAGGAGTGCCTCAAATATTATAATAAAATAAATTCTAAATACCTATATATATTTTGGCATTTGATTTTGGGTTTTTATCATAAAAAGAAAAAAAAATCAGAGCTCCCGTATCCCCTTTGCTTACCAGGACACGGGTCCAACTGTGGTCGTCTTCCCTGCAACCGGCTGCTTTGTGGTGCTGAGCAGCCCTGCTATGCCAGTACCCTGCCCCTGCCCATGCTGTTGCCATTCACTCCAGACCCACAGCCCCCATGTCCCCCTCCCAGCTCTGCTGGTGTCTCTCACTCTCAAACCACCACCCCCTGGCCCTGCTGGTGCCCCTCACTCCTGACCCACAGTCCCCGACCCCCACCAGCCCTGCTGGTGCCCCTCACTCCCAATCCAATAGCCCCTGGCCCTAGATTCCAGCCCCCCAATGTATGGGGAATGGGGTGGGTGTGTGGGGAAGGGGAGGTATGGGAGGAAGGGGGTGTGTGGGCATAAGCAACACATGGGGAGAGGTGGGGGAGGGGCACAGTCGACAGGCCAAAGGTGGGGCACAGGTAATGTGTTGGGAGGCGGCATGTGCCCCCCCAGATTTCTGTGCCCATAGCAGGGTGCAGGGCTGCAGCCAAGCCAGGCCAGACAAGGTTCACCCTGTCTACATTTTACCATACCATGGATTCATATACATGAACTGAACCCCTCCTGACCACACCACAGCTGTGCATCCAAACTTATTTGCTGACCGATAGTAGCATTTTGTTTCTATTAAATACATTTCCATGTTTGGTTGTTAGTACCTTTATTACACGTGAATGGAATTTGTATGACACTAAACTGAGAATAGTGACCAATACTTGCAAGGATAGATAAACTGACTTAGGAGTATCTAGGTACTATGCAGTTATTCAGTATAAATGAACGAACAGTGTCTGGACTTGTGGGGTGGGGGGGGGAAGAAGGAAGTAGAAGATAAAATATGAATCAATCATACAGGGAAAACCATCCAAAACACAGACATGCAACAGGAAGGAGGTCCTTGGAAGGACGCATTACTGAACTTGTGAGGTGATTAGGGGTAGCAAATGGGGTGATTAGGGGTAGCACTGTAACAGATCAGCAAAGAAGCAAATGCTATTTGGAGTTGGACATGCAGATGGAATCATGTCACGAGCAGCAAACCACCTAAAACCTACTAAAGACTGACTCAATACCTTTGACCTCATTCATTGTAGGTAGGACCTACTGGAAGCATTTACGCAAGACGCTACGTTACCGTAGCTCATCGCTATGGTGACATAGCATCAGCGGGTGCAAACTATGATGCCGATGCTACTGCATGGTAGCAATGCACTACGTCACCATAGCTCATTGCTACAGCGACATAGCGT